GTCTCTGTCCTTCTCCCCACCTCTACCATCCAGTTCCCTCAAGTTCTCCTCCTCCCGCCCCTTCTCTCCTCCTCCTCCCTTTCCACCTTCCCTTCTCTCCCCACCCCCACTCTCCCAATTTTCTCAGGAGACCTTGTCTATTTCCCTTTCCCAGGAGGAATCTATGTATATTTCTCTTAGGGTTCTCCTTGTATTTAGCCTCTCTGCACTGTGGACTATAGGCTCGTTATCCTTTGCTTTACAGCTTGTATTCACCTATTGAGTGGGTACATACCTGTAGCGCCTGCGCTATGGGACAGTTTGCGAGTTGGGCATAGGGCTAGAGATTAAAGAACACAAGAAATGTGGGTCATTTGTGAAGAGAGAATGCAGAATGCCATTTATTCAAGCTTAGAGAAAGCCTTATATACCTAACTGCTTGCTGCACAGTGGAAACCTCCAGGCAGGTGGGAAATTACCAGACTCAAAACTGAGCAAATAACTCCTCTGTAGCTAACTACCAGTGTGGGCAGACAGGAACAAACAAGATGTTTTGCCAGAAATTGCAAGCTACTCTCAATATGAACCGTGGGAGGAGGGGTAGAGCTGTGGGCCCTACAGGTCCCCCTTTATTATAAATTACATAACTAGGCCTGTCTTAGGTGCAGTGGACATCAAGCAACACCCCTTGCCTGTCATAGGAAAGCATCCAGGTCAAAACATATTTCCTGTCTTAGGTTGGGGCAGCCCCCCCAAAACCTTTCCCATCATTGGCTCACTAGTCACCCATCGCCACGTTCAGCCAGATTTGCACTGAAAGATCCTCCGGAGCAATAGCTAAGAGGACTTGCCGAGTGGTGAAATTGACCTGAACTTGCCTCTGGCTCTGGCTCCATAAAAACATGAAGATGATAAAGGCTCCAGCACACATAAGCATTCCTAAGGAAGCTGTGCCTGTCCAATCCTTAATAAGTCTGCCCACAAGTTGGAGCCCCTTAAGTAAGGTCTCAGCACTGGTGAGGGAAACCCTGGTATTATTATTAACTAGAATAATCTCATGAGCCAATTTGTGCATAAGATTAAGAAATTGTACACTCCAGGGTCCGTGAATAGCAGCATTAAGCATTTTCACTGTATCCTTTAAGCTTGTAACCTTAGCAGTGGTAACACATATGTAATGAAATGAAGGGGAACAGGATAGCATATGAGCTTCCCTGAGTAAGTTTATTTCTTCTTGAACCACAGCCAATTGCAAATTTAACTGCACTATTCCTTTGTGAATATAGCTATTACTATCATTTGAGTGGCCAAGGATTTGTGGCCTGCCCCAATAAGGTATCCACCATGCTAGCAGTAGCAACTGACTGACAACTCCAGCAGCCGTAGCTGCCATGGAAGCCACAGCCAAAATATATTCTTGCTTGATGCAGGATGAGCTGATCATCATGGGATGTGTTTACAGGTAGAGGAACAATCCTTGGCACTCGGACCGCCACAGCCAGTTACTCAGAACCCCAGTAACTCTTCAGCTGACCAACCTGCTCAGAACAGTTTAAAACTCCAGAAATATCAGCAGGATGATCAGCAACAGTAAAAAAAAAGGGGGGGGGCGGTGACACAAACTTCTGCCCGGAAAGTACAATTTTTATCTTTTCCATTTTGATGAATCCTCATAGTGCAAAATAAGACAAACTTGAGGCCCCCAATCTTCAAAAGCAGACAGCACAGCATGTTGCATGGGGTTACAGTAATGAAAATGCCTGCTGTCCTTGGATTGATTTTTGGCTGGTGGCTTGAGATCCTACCACCATAGATCTGTCTGGGACAAATTAAGAGTCCAGGGGGAGGTGGTAATGCACTCAGCCCATAGGATGGAAAGACTTCAATCATAACTTAAGGGCCCAGGCCAGCAACCACTGACTGGAGCCGCTGGGTGAATTCTGCTAATAAAGTATACCTTGAGACCTGCCACTGAGGCATTGTTGATCACAAGGCAACCACTTGCAGCAATGGAGGTAGGCTCATGAGGTTCCTAATTTTCTCAAATCACAGGACTTAAGCTAAATTCTAAATCCTCATGATATTATTTTGGGTTGTATCCAAAGGCACAGCGGGTTTACCTGTGCCAAAATTGGTAGATAAGAAATAGGGCCACACAGAGCTATCCAATCCCACCAGCATCAGAAACAGAGGATTCTTTACCTGTGCCCATCTGATCTCTTGGCTCTGCAAAGCTGCATCCAATCACTGGGTGTAAGGTTGACTTCCACAAAGGATTTCTTTAAAGCCACAGTAAAGGAGGCATGAGTGCCACAGGCCATAACTTCTACTTTTAATTATTTAATGTCTTTAAAGGCTAAAGTATTATGCTGCCTGATTTGCTGTCCTTGCAGATCAATAACCTCCACAACAAAATAAATTTGCCTCTCTTTACTTAGATGATTTAGTCTATCCTGGATTTTTCGAATTTCCACCTCTATGTCAATAGGGGCAGAGGCAGCTGCAAAAGAATTTGAAGCAGCAAGTAATGAATTCTGCCACGGGGGTCTTATGGACACATCTCTGTTTGCTTCCTTCCTTTTCTCTCTTCCAACTTTTTTAACAGTACAATCTCCCTTTCTAAAGTCTCTTCTTCCTCTTCCATATCCCTTTTAGTACTTTTAACTTCCCCCTCCTCAAAGCTCTTAATAGACTTCACAGATACTTCATTCTGAATCTCCTCAAATTATCACTGAGAAGAGCATCTTTGACTAAACACCATAACAAAAACGTTGTTTGGGAAATTCTTCTGGTCCTCGCTCTTTTAAAGCTTTTTGAAGGTCAGCTTTTACCTGCTTCCAATCAAGACTATTAAAATCCCCTGCTTATGGAAACCAGGGACTAAATTCTAAAACTGTCTTAATGAACTCTTGTGCTGTCTTGGTTTTAATAGACCTTGTTTCATGAAAAGAACTATCAACTGGTCAGTCAATACTTAAACAGAATTACTAGCACCCATCTTCAATTCACCCTCGCCATCAATATCTTACCTGCTGGCCAGCCTTCTGAGGGCGATCTTTCAGGAGTCCCAACTTCCTGATCTCGCTGGTGGCCTCCAACTGTAGTGTCTGTGCAACAGGACAGTTTGCGAGTCAGGAAAGGGGATGGAGATTAAAGAACACAAGAGACGTAGGTCATCCGTGAAGAGAGAAAATGCAGAATGACATTTATTCACGCTTGGAGAAAGCCTAATATATCTAACTGCTGCACAGTGGCCATCCCAATGGCAGGTTGCAAATTACCAGGCTCAAGACAGAGCAAACAACTCCCCTGTACCTAACCACCAGGGTGGGCAGAGCTAGCACAGGAACAAACAAGATGTTTTGCCAGAAACTTCAAGCTATCCTTGATATGAACCCTGGGAGGAGGGGTAGACTTGAGGGCCCTATACATACCATGTTCATCTTTCTGGGTCTGGGTTACCTCACTCAGGACGGTTTTTTCTAGTTCCATCTATTTGCATGAAAAGTTCAAGATGTCATTGTATTTACCATTGAGTAGTACTCCATTATGTAAATGTACCACATCTTCTTTATGTGTAGGTGACGGTTCAGAGACATCGCCTCCAAGCTGGGAACCAGGGAGATGGCCGAGACGGACCCCAAGACCATGCAGGACATCACCTTGGTGCTGGAGATGCTCCTGCGGCAGATGCAAGACAAGATTCAGATCATGTCCGACCAGATCATTGGAAGGATCGATGACATGAGCAGTCACATTGACAACGTGGAGAAAAATATCTCTGACCTCATGTCCCAGGCTGGAGTGGAAGAACTGGAAGGCAAAAACTAGATTCCTACTGCGCAGAAGAGCTGAAGGCTGCTGCTACTCACAGTGAATCCAGAACGTCGTTTTTCCCAAGCCAAGAGAAAACCAAGTGGCTTTCTGAAACTATTATATGTCAACAGGTTTATAAAGCATGCATTTTTATCACAGCCTACATAGTCCATACAGTATCCCCCCAACACCCCTAGTTTCTCAAACTTGGTATCTTTACATCTTGGTCAGTTGTTTTAATTATTAAACACTAAGATTTGGCAGTTTCTGCATTAAATTGTCCAACTTTTTAGTGAGTTTTGAAGTCCTTTCCCTCTGTTCCTTTTGTGGTAGTTATTGTTTGATGAAGTGGCAGATACTTTCCAGTTAGGTGACTAGTAACTCTTCGCCTTGGCAGAAGCTGTGATGTGAGTTTGTGTACGTGAGATCTTCAGTACAAAGTGACTGTTGAGCTGATGTTAGAATGTCAGAAATGCTTTCCCAAACAGCCGAGAACGTTTAGCAGTGGTTTGTGCCGGAGTGTCTGTCAGTTTTGCATGGGATTCTAGTAGCATTGGTAGTGGCAGGCTGTCAGAACCCATTGACCTTGGCCTCCCTTCAAGCTACTGACTGAAAGGGAAGAGACCAAAAGCCCCGAGTGAGTCTGCTGCCTGTCACGTGGCTGAGAAATGCCCAGTGGCTGATGGAGGCCCTGGTGTTTAATACTATTTTACTTCAACTATTTCTTGCCTAAATTCTTGCACAGTGAGTTCTATTATTGACTAAAGAAGACAGATAATAAACTCTTTACATTTGGAATTCCAGTGTATGTAGGCTTAGCCTCTAGGCCACTTTTGATGATCTGGAAAGCAATCTATGTCACTGTCCCCACAAAGTGAATTCATACAATAAAAAAAAGAAAGCTCTAGAACAACAACAACAAAATAATCAGACTCACCCAGGAGTAGACAACAGGAAATAATCAAATTGGGGGCTGAAATCAATAAAATAAAAACAAAGAAAACAATACAAAAAAATCAATGAAAAAAGAGCTGGTTCTTTGAGAAAAATCAACAAGATAAACAAACCCTTATCCAAACTAACCAAAAGGTAGAGAGAGAACATCCAAATTAACAAAATCAGAAATGAAAACAACAGACACTGAGGAAATTCAGAGAATCATTAGGTCATACTACAAAAACCTGTACTTCATAAAATTAGAAAATATAGAAGAAATGGACAATTTTCTGGATAGGTACCATATACCAAAAAAAAATCAAAATCAGATGAAGAATTTAAATAGACCTATAACCTACAAAAGAAATAGAAGCTGTCATCAAAAGCATCTCAACCAAAAGAAGCCCAAGAACCAATAGTTTTAGTGCAGAATTCTAACAGAACTTCAAAGAAGAGCAAATACCTATACTCCTCAAATTGTTCCACATAATAGAAACAAAAGGAACATTGCCAAACTCTTTCTATGAGACTACAGTTACCCTGATACCGAAACCACATAAAGACTCAACCAAGAATAAGAATTACACACCAGTCTCCCTCATGAACATTGATGCAAAAATACTGGCAAATCGAATCCAAGGAGATATCAAAACAATCATCCAAAAAAAATCATCCACCATGATCAAGTTGGCTGCAGGGATGGTTCAACATACAAAAAAATCTATCAATGTAATCCACTAGATAAATAAACTGAAAGAAAAAAACATATGATTGTCTCATTAGATACTGAAAAAGTATTTGACAAAATCCAACACCCCTTCATGACAAAGGTCTTGGAGAAATCAGGGATACAAGGAACATATCTAAACATAATAAAAGTTGACAGCCAACATCAAATTAAATGGAGAGAAACTCAGGAACTCACTAAAATCAGGAACAAGACAAAGCTGTCCACTCTCTCCATATCTATTCAACATTGTTCTTGATGTTCTAGCTAGAACAATAAGAAAACAAAAGGAGATTAAGGGGATACAAATTGGAAAGGAAGAAGTCAAATTTTTGCCATTCACAGATAATATGATAGCATACATACACCACCCCAAAAATTCTACCAGGAAACTCCTACAGCTGATAAACACCTTTTGTAATGTAGCAGAATACAAGACTAACTCAGAATTTAATATTTTTATTGTTCCAACAGGTGTTAGCTTTACATTATCAAGGCTCAAAGTTTAGGGCTGATTCATCAGCATATTGGAGCTAGTTTGGGGTTGGCTCATTAATATACCAGAGGTTCATTAACACATCTAACATGTAGATTTGGATCAACTCAGAGCAGTCCTGTGGCTGGTTCATTCAGTCTTGCAAGCATTACAGAATGGACTCTGACTAGCTCCAGTGGGCAAGCAAGGTTCTGGCAGACCTTGCCCTTCTCTCTCATTCCCTCTGCTTTGCTAAAAACCATTAGATTATATTCCTAAATCTAGCCACCAAGGTCTACTCCCTTATTTGGCCACTTCCTCCTCCTGTGGCTAACTTCCAAGGTCCAGCTATCAAAGTATTGAATTCCTGTGGGACAATATTATATAGGCCACATACTTCTGCATTGTATCAGCAGCGAGGCTCTCAAGCCACAATAGCAACTGAGGTGCTGAAAGCATCTTCAGACTGGCTGTCTCCTGAGGTCAGGATGCTGATGCTGTGCCGCTCCTTTGTAACTATGGAGATCGCCTGGGAAAAGGTGTTAATTCCAAGCTAGTGACAGAGCTGCAGGCATGACTTTAGTCCTGCTACCCCGGAAACAGAATGCTAATGAACTTCCCCCCTCAGTTTACCTTGAGAGATAAAAGGTGTTTGGAGACTAAATACAGGTGATCTTCAGGATTCGAATGAACCCTGAGACTTCCTTCCGATATTGCTGTGTGATCTGTGTCTCAATGATTCCCATGCCTCCATGCCTGTCCAGAGGGATAGTTTATGTTGGAGTTGGACCTCGACATAGTGGCACCTACAAGGTGGGGCTGACTGCTGAACCCTGAGAAATGCTGGAGAAGTGACTAGAAGTACAGAGGAGAATGTGAGGAACTCACGAGAGAAAATTTCACCACAGGTGGATACCTGACTATGAGCATGAGCGCTCAGAAATAAAAAAATAGAATTTAAAGAAGTATAATAAGGTGGGACAGTAATATCGGGGGTAAAATTTGTAAATATAGAAATATGGGCTGGCACCAGACCCCGACAAAGTCCAGCAACCAAAAGCCCCCTTCGGCTCACCTAATTAACATGCCCGATTAAAATTAAACATCTCTTCCTAACACTGGGTTTCTCCTTTTCCCTCTATGTTGGTTTTTGGTTTTCGAGACAGGGTTTCTCTGTATAACCTTTGCTGTCCTGGAGCTATCTCTGTAGCCTCAAACTCAGAGATCCTCCTGCCTCTGCCTTCTGTGCTGGGAGGAAAGGTGTGTGCTACCACCACCTGGCACCCCCTTTACTTTTTTAAACTGCTATTTATGTGCCATGCCCATGTGTGTCTCCTCTCTAGCCATAGATAGTCCTTTATCCAGTCCAGTTGTCCATCCTCCATTGCCACACAACCCCCAGCCCTGCCACAAATACCCCTTTGCCCTCTCCCTTGTTCTCCTTCCCTCTCCTTCATCCTCTATCTCCTGCCTTCTATCCCTCTGCGACAAATAAATCTCCTTTGTGCTGAGAACTTGGTCTTGGGGTATATTGAGACAACTTTAATGTTACATACAATTATATTATTCCAAGCCACATAAAATGGTTTTCATGTTACATAAAATGATCTCACTTATGTTCCTAACAACTATACATCCTTTTACATTATTTTAGCTTTAAAATTACATTTATTTATTTAGAATATGAGGCAAGACCTGTACATGGAGGTCAAAACACAACTTTTAAGTTCTCTCCTTCCACTATGTGGGTGGCAGGGATTGCACTCAGATTGTCAGACTTGGAGACAAGCACCTTTCCCCACTGAACCATCTCACTGACCTGTAAATTATAATTTTTTAAACAAATTTGACCTATATATATAGGTCCCATCATAGTTATGTGTTTTAATATCGAAATCAGTGGTTCTCAACCATGTTATTGCTGTGATCCTTTAATACGGTTCCTCATGTTGTGTTGACCCCCAACCATAAAATTATTTTCGTTTCTACTTCATAACTGTAATTTTTATTAGTTATGACTTGTAAATATTTGATATGTAAGATATCAGATATGTTACCCCTGTGAAAAGATCGCTAAAGGGGTCATGACCCAAAGGTTGAGAAACACTGATCTAAATGAACTATTCTTTTTTCAGTACTGAGGATCATTCCTGAGCTGTGTACATGTGGTAGACAATGCTTTACCATTAAGCTATACCACTATTTCTGTATGGACAAGACTTGAAGAAAAAAAAAGTAACTTCTTAAATTGGCCATCCTGGGTGACATTCTTCTTTATCTTATATTGGTTTATATTTTCAAATATCTGCTTTATTTTACTTACATATGTGTGTGTGTGTCTTACAAAGACTAGAGATCTACATGGGGTATCCTCCTCCAGAACTCTTCACCTTATTTTTTTGAGACAAAGTCTGTCATTGAACTTGAAACTCACCAATTCAGCTAGACTGTTTGGCCTGCAATCCTAGGGATCCTCCTGTCTCTGTTTCCCTAGTGCTAAGATTATGGGTACATGGTGCCACACCTAGCTTTTGATGTAGGTGTAGGCAGAGTTTCTCTGTGTCTTGGCAGTGGCTCCCAAATAATCATTCAGAGACTTACTATTAATTATAAATGCCTGAGCTGCAGTTCAGGCTTGTTACTAGCTAACTCTTCTTACATTTTAAGTTAACCCATATTTCTTATCTACCCTCTGTCACATGACTGTACCTTCTTTCAACACAGCATGTTCATTTTGCTTCTCTTTGCATCTCCCGAGACTTCCCAGACTCTGCCCTTCATCTTCATAGGACTCTCTCTGCCCGAAAATCCTGCCTAGCGATTGGCCAATCAGCTTTTTACTTACAATGAGAGCGACATATTTTCACAGCATATGGA